TAAAGTTACGAGGAATAAATAATAAATATCTCCGGACTTACATTCCTTGCTGGATTGAAACGGAATCGATATCGGGGTTAAATATTTATACTAAAGTTACACTTGAAATGCTTTATGATATATGTTCAGTATACTCTTTTAATTCGCTCTCTTAAGTTCTAACTGATTTAATCTCTAAAATTACTTATATAATTTTTTATTACGTTTATTAAATCAAAGAGTTTAGAGGTAAACCAACACGGCTGTGGAAAAAACTATTCGAAATGTTAATAAAATTATTTTTGACAATTAATCTTATATACAGTAAATAACAAAAGTACCATCCGATGGAAAAAAAACGGCATCAAAGACGACTGGGGAACGATAATTGGATAATTTTGGTAGGGTCAAGCCCTTGACGTCATTAGGGTAATTGTGCAGCATAGGTGTTTTTCGTATTTTTAGAGATTTCTCAAAAAAGAATTTTTGAGAAATCACTAAAAATACGAAAAACACCAATACTGCATAATTAGCGTCATTAGTCCTGTACCTTTCTTTACTATTTAATGGATTACTGCCAGTAGCCTTAATAAGGTTGTTATTTATTTTTATATTGAGTAAAAATGATTTTTAAATAACGTAGTTTAAAATTAGGGATTTTTTTGGAGATATATAGAATTGTGTGTCTGGACAGTTTCTAGTTTTTTTAATGTTTCCATAATTAGTTTTAATTTGACGCAGTTTTTGTTTAGGTTAGGTCAGGTTAGATTGAAGTTTTATGTATTTTTAGTAAAAAACGTCTAGGAGATTGACCTAGCCAAAATTATCATCGATTATCATTCCCCAGCCGTCTTTGATACCATGTTTTTCGATCATACGGTATAATGCGTATTACTTATCAACGATTCATTAAAATTTAAATCACTGTCTGCGATTTTAATAATTATTTTTACATATTTCATATTAGGACATTATCTACTGATAATGTCAAAGTTATAATATATTATGAGATTAATTTCTAACCGATGTTCGCAAAAATGATATTTCCCTACGATCCACAGTAGGCAATATGTCCAAACCAAGTTGCCAAAAATAACATCCACAGTTAGCATTTATGGCAATAACATTAGATTGGAAACATATTAGTTAAGAGGAAACCACATAAAACTAACAAAAAAACATATTCGGAGTCTCTTTCGAGGGGCTGTAAAACGAACTTTGCGCAAAACCTACATTTTCAGTTAATTTGTGTCCAATAACTGCCTTTTTCTACAATTTTTTAAATAGTAGGCGTTGCATTCAAGTGACACAGTATTATAACAATTGAATCGAACGACCTTAGCTTGCTGTCAATAATTATTGTGAAATTGTCATAATGTGTTTTACGTAGATTCCCGGTTGCGGTAAATTTAATGTCAAGGTAAGTAAAAAGGATCTTTTATTTTGATTTTTGGATAAAAACTAGGTAAAGGTCAAAGTAGAACATAATCATTTAAGGTTTTTTTTGATAGTGGCATATATATATATATATATATATATATATATATATATATAATATATATATATATATATATTTCTTAGAAAAGTTAAGTCAAAAAAATCGCAACTTTAAACTTATTGGAAGCGTATGTCTCCATGCGTATGTGTATAGTAAGATCCTTTATGTGGATACTTCTCATAAATTAATTGTAATAGTAGCTAGAGAAGAACATGAAATATAAAGTTACGTAATTTTTCTCAAAATTTCCGAAGAGGTATGTCATAAATGTCAAATGACATTTTTTGACAAATTGACAAATTTTGACAGTACCTAATTTTTTAAATTAAATGAAATGGATTTTTCTTTCAGATTTAAAAATGTGCACTTCGTGACCATTGCTTCCAGCTGTTATAAAACAAAATATCAGTAAATAGTAGGTGGTAAAATAAAATTTAGATATTTTTAATAGGTATAAATTCTGTTATTTTCGAAATTGTCATTGTTTAAGTCTCAGAATATTGTTACTTATTTAAAATATAATAATAAAATATTGTTCACATATTGTCTGGTATTATTAGAGACCCAACAATTCAAATGACAAACAATCTTGAATAAAAGTTCGATTGGATTAGTATACTTAGGGTTTTCTTTTATACATTGACACCCCCTTTATCTTTTTTATTTGACGTTTCCGAAAACTGTCTCAAATGAAAGTGGTTTTGAATAAATTTGCCAAAAAAGTCTATTTCGCATATCCAAAGTGCTTCAAAAAATCTGGGCGTGGTTCAACTATCTTATTTCAAATTAGGTATAGGATATGCTACATAAAAGTAGTTAGGATTTTTAGGAGAAAATAAAAAAAAAATAAAAAAATTAGGTACAAATTTTAAATAAGAAAGTTGGGGCCACGCACAGGATTTCTAAGGAACCCTGTATATGCAAAGAAGACTGTTTTGAAAAATGTATTCCAGACCATTAAACTTTAATTCAAGACACTTTTTTCGAAAACGTCGAATAAAAAAGATACAGAGGATGTCAATATATATACCTAACCTAACAATTATGTATTAGTCAAAAGATGATTTTTCCATTTTATGAATTCATTTCACCACCCCCAGCCAATCTCAAGTCAGCCAAAACTAACTGGGTTCACGGGCTACTGGCATAGAATGTTTTTACCAAATTTGAATGAAATCGTACAATAAAAGAATTTTTGCAACATACTTCTGGATTTTTGCCCACTGTGCGATCGTGCAAAAAGTAGCTATTTTTTCTACGACTAGCCTAGAAAATGCAGTTTGACACACGGAAAACTCATCTGAAATTGGCGTTTTGCAAACTGCTGTGTGCTAAGGTTTAGCGCACGACATGTGTCATTTTGCACACGACATGTGCCAATTTTAACATTTTTAACCTCCAATGTTTAGCTGAAACGCCAAACGCAACGCAGCCGTCAGAAAAGTGTCATCATTACATCGCAAATTATTTCACAAAACTGGCGAAAACTGAGTGAGTCTGCTGCTAATTTGTAGTCGTAGAAAAAATAGCGTAAAAAACTCGTTCGAAAACTTCTTTGTATACTCTGTTTTTTTTCTCAGGTAAGATTTCGACAGACGATGACAGAAGAAAAGCAGATGACGTCCCATACCAATCTATTTATTTTACTAAAAAAAGTTTCTAATAATTTTTAAGTTATCTATGGATGGGTTTAAATATAAATCCGTCATACGTCGTGTCTTGTTGTTTTTAACCAGTTTTATTGGTTTATTTAAAAAATGACAGATCGTATTTCAATTTTATTGGTTTGACGGAACGATGAACGACAAACGGACGCCGATGCCTATGAACTCGCCTTTAGATTTTTGTCATTTTTGACGCTTGTCAAAGTCTTGCCAAATTATAGGTTATAATTTTGTGTCAACTTTTGTTAAATACCCTGCGTTTTGGAAGATGATGCATTTTGATTCGTATTATTACTTGTGTTTTGTGTCTTTTGAAGTCAAGTGGAGGAAAAATCGAGTGAAAATTAAATGTAGACCCAGAGCACAGTTTATGGTTAATACTCGCTGCCCAGGCAGAAAGTCTTATACACCTGCCATCGATAAAGTTTGTATACCATTTCGTCGTAGATAAGTGCATCTCGTATATGGTAGAAGGATCAAACTAAGCACATACTAAAACTGAGTAGCTGCGAAAATATAAACTCGAAAGTTGGCGTTCAGTTGAGGTTCAGTTGCAGTTGGATGTTCGCGGCAGTTACTGGTTCAATATTTTTAAGCATTTAGTTAACTGTCAGTTTCGGTATTTTGGTTAGGTTTGGAATTGTGAAAATTTCGAACGTTTTTCTTTTGATTTAAAAAATACTTCTGGTATTTGTCAAAGTTCAAACACAGTAATCCACGATTACGCAAAAATATAAACATCACATTAACAGAAATAATGAAACAACTATAAGGGTCATTTTCCAATGCATCGGCGTACTGTGCTTCACGTGATCGACAGGCGCTTATTCATTGGCTGTCGCCGCCTTACGTCGCCAGCGGTCGCCAACTGCCCGCAACTGCCGACATAAACATTGACCATCTTTGAACTCCGCTGAACGTAAAACGAACTGCCAACTTTTCGACCAACTGACTTTATAAATGCGCGCGTTCATTTCATAGCGTTGAACATTTTGAACGGCAACTGAACCTCAACTGAACCTCAACTCCCGAGTTTATAAATCCAGCTTTATACACCAATGATAAAGTTTGTATGCTGCCATCGATAAAGTTTGTATACCATTTCGTCGTAGATAAGTGCATCTCGTATATGGTAGAAGGATCAAACTAAACACATACTAAAAACTGGAGTAGCTGTAAAATATCGACATCACACGGTAGGTAGATAATGGATTTTAGTACTGCAGAAAAATAATGTCAAAAGGTACTGGTTTAAAAAAATTAAGATTATAGTTAATTAATCAACCTTTAAGGTATAAAATTTGGTAGGTGTTATTATTAATAAAATAGTTTGTTTTATTTACCTATGTTGTTTTATTTATTCCTGTGGAATATTACAAATTTGTATTTGTACATAAGTTATAACACTTGCCATCTTGTCAATCAAATTTTAAATATATCCTGCTATGCGTTCCAGTTATACCAACTTATTTCTTTGTAAAATAAAATAAACTACTCTGAAATTAAAATGACAGACACATCTATCACTGTCAAGGATCTTCTCGTTGGACAGACTATACACTCGTTCGACTTGTATAAATAATGTGTAAGATTAAAATTAAGATGAACTCAGAAAAAGTTATTAAAAAAATAATATTTGTTTACAGTGTCATTGTTATTGGTAATATTATTCTGTAAATTACTGTAAAAACTTTTTAATAAACATTTAAATAAGAATTTCATTTCGATCGTAGAAAAAATGTTGTGCGCAGCATGTGCAAAAAGCATATTTGTTGCACTCAGCATGATGACTCATGCGCCGTGCGACAAATATGTGCTTTATGCACTAGTTACACAAATAACTATTTTAATTCACTTACCTTGACAGTTTTTTCCTTTGCTACTGAGTAACATCAACAACAGAATGCCGCAGAAGATGATCAAAGCTAACACCGTCGCAAACAGGCACTTCTCCTTGGATGGCTTGGCGTTGGGCACCACGATCGTCTTCGGACCACTTCCAGACATTTGGACTACTGTGGCCACTGGATGCGGCTCCGGGTTTGGCTTCTTGGCCTAGAATAGAAAAAATGATATTGGCATTATTAACCAAAACGCCTTAATTCAAGTTATTGAATTAAAGCGTTTTGGTTAAACTGTAACTGGGTGTAAACTCATTAATAGTATAAGGGTGAAAGAGAAAACTCATTAATTTTCTTTTATAAATTGGGAACTATTTTCCAACAACCTTTTTTTCCCTACATAACCACATATATTTCTCAAATATGAATAAAATATTTTCATTTTAAAAGAATTTCATATCCTACATGCACATAAACTAGTCAGTATTTACGTAAGTTGTTTTGTAAACAGAGAAACTGTTTCAAATTTGCTTAGGACAGTTGTCTAACATTTAAAAACAAACAAGAAACAACTGCCTCAAAAGTAGATATAGGGGTTACCAGCTCTAAAAAATATTTATGTTTAACGGTATATTATTTTTTTTACTTGACATCAATAATTAAATGTCATTATTAACTTGGAATACCGAATTATATTTAAATTGTCAAGTTAGCGAATAATTAATTTATAATAGTGCTGAAATAATACAAAAAAATAAAGTGTGTTTAATAAAAAAATGTTTTAAAATAACTTTTCTGACATATAAATTATTTCTTATTAGATATTTCTAATAATATGGTAATTTTTCTCCACAAAATACTGAAAAAATAAAATAATTGGCATTATTACAAGTTAATTTATTTTTTAAAACTATAAACAAATATGTACAGCTTTGTTAAATTTGCTATGACTTTCATTCAAAAAGGCCGTCAATTTTAGAAAATTAGAAAAATACCTACTAAATTTTCAATACTTTTTTTATTTGATTTTGTTTGTAGTTTCTGTGTATTTTATATTAATTTATCAAGTATTTAACTATGTTCAACCATTCTTCCATTACAAAACTATTAAAAAAACTTAAATGATGAATTGAGAGATATTTGACTGAAAATTATTTATCATGCCTATACGAAAATAGTGACAATTATTGCTTCAAACAAAATTTATATTCAATATAAGAATTTTCAAAGCAAATAATTGATTCATTATAAAAATGAAGAAGTGCTTGTCTGTCTAAAAATACCGCAGAAATAATTTTATCAACGAATAATTACGGAATAATCCTCGAATAAAAAAGAGACTGGAAAGAAAAATAAGAAACAGCGCCAGTTCCGAGATAATAAAAACGTCCTGAAAATGGAAATAAATTCTAATAATGGAAAATCAATTTTAAACAGATTTTCTTTTTGTGTTTCTCCGGAAATCGAGCCTTTTCCTATTTTAAATCGTGTTTCATAAATCTATTTATTAAATAGGGCGAATCATTTCTACTTTTAAGGAAGATTGTTTTACTTCTAGATTCGAGTCATTTTGTGGTAATTAGTAATTTTCTTCAGTGACGATGAACAGATTTAAATAAACTATATACCGTATGATCGAAAAAAAAAAACGGCGTCAGCGATGGCTATGAAATGAAGATCGCTGTCATTTTATATGTAAATTTATATGGGAAATGTCATCGATTGTCATTTCCCAGCCTTTTTTTAGCTATGATCGGTCAGAGGTAGGTTTGTACAAAACAAAACTCTAATGACAGGTAATGGGGTGCAACATTATATTGGTAATCTTATACAGGGTAAGTCTTAAATAAGTGAGAATATTTTTAGGAATAGTATATTTCGACCACAGAAACACAATTATAAGGTTTTTTTCGTATTTTTTTTTTAATTTTAGAATTTTTTGAAACATTTTTTGTTTTTTTATAGTTTTTAGTTAAAAAACAAAAGTTTTTGATAACATGGCAACATTTAAAGGTAAATTTACATGAAAAAAGAAACGATAAAAAAGATCCAGTGGTTCTTAAAATTTAAACAAAAAATCTGTTTTTTTTTGAAAATTTTCAAAGTAAAATAACTCGGATATTTTGGACTTTAAGCCCTGAAAATATTTAGACTTATTTAAGACTCACCCTGTATACCTATACAGGGTGGTCCGAACGGTATTCCGGAAACTTTGGCAGCATATTCTGCAAATAATAATAAGTAAACAAGTTCGTGTAAAGGTATCTCCAAAAATGCTTAGTTTCAGAGATACGGGGTGTAGAATTTTCATTTTTATTTCAATTTTTTCCAAATAATTTCTGAAGTCTGAAGAAAAAATCGAAATAAAAATGAAACTTCTACACCCTGTATATTCCAAACTAATAATTTTAGGACACACATTTACACGAACTTTTTTACTTATTTTTATCTGCAGAATATGCTGTCAAAGTTTCCGGAATACAGTTCGGACCACTCTGTATATTGGACACATATTATGAAAACTATTATTTCATAGCATTACCTTAAGATATCCATTTTTAGTTTCGGAACACTTCCAGTTCTTGTCCACTTCTGCCATAGCAATGGAGTTGCCAAAATCTTGGCCCGAGTTGTGCATTTAGTACTGAACGATTGTTACATCTGAAAAAAATATAGCTAAGACGTTTTTTTTTTCAATTAATCATAAATATCTGATAAGATAAGTCAGATTGATACTTTAAACATCATTATTTATAGTTTTGCGACTAAATTTAGTATTTTTATAAATAGCAGGTATATTAAGTTTATATCGAATTTAGTATTATTTAACATTTCGAAAATATTCATTGCCAGCATCGAATTCATAATTTATTATGTATTTATCTCTCAAAAAACAATATTTCTTATAACTATAAACATTGTACCTACACATAATCAGTATAACAATTATCTTTTGAATCAATCTAAATCTAAATATATAATAAGTTCATTCCCTTCGGCATTATTTTTATACTTTATAAAATGTCAAGTGTTAAATATAGTTGTAAAAGAAAATCTGATTCAAAAATAATTTTACTGTAATAGAACAAGATGAGACTATGGCAAACAATACGAACAAAGAATTGTTTATTTGACATTTATGGAAAATAATTTAAACTTATACGGGGTGGGCCACTGAAAACTTACAATGGCTATAATTTTTAAACCAAAAAAGATATCAAAAAAATAAAAAATACCGTTTCTATAATATCGAGGGGGAATACATATAACGTATTTTTTGAACCACCCCTACCTACCCTTAGGCGGCACCCATAGACTTAAAATAAAATATAGACTGAGCATCTCATTCATAAATAGCTGGAACATGCGGTCAGACACTGTCTTGTTATTGTTGTGTTATTGTTTTAGGTTATAACGAGTGCGACACGAGCGATAGATAGGTTGTCTCTGTCGTAACGGTCGTTCCCTGACGACTCTGCCGAGAAACCTGTACTGTCTTTCGTTTCTCAGAGGTTGACTTAAATGTCCATATCTTGAAGTGCAAATTTCTTACCAATTTTGGCATGGCAAACTATATTTTATGGTTTTAAATATATCAGTCATTAAAACACTTATATTTTATTAAGATTTAGACATTTTTTAAATAAAAAGTTTAGAAAAAAACAATTTAGAGAGTCCAAAAGGATAATGATAATAAAATACTACACGTTATAGATAAATTTGAATCGAAATAGGTAATTTTGAAATTAATAATAAATTATTAATTTTAGTCAAATTTTAAACCTGAATATTAAATCTAAAACAGGATCTATTCACAGAATTATGAGTCGGCGAGAGGAGAGAGAACTATTTAAATATAGTTGTTGTAATTTTAAAACCTGGTTTAGAAACTGTAGAATTATTATGTTCAATTAGAAAGTGCAATATAACAATTAAAGCAATGATTGTGAATATTAGGAATGTTGTTGAAACATAGGCTCGACATTTATTTAACTCGGTCGACTGTACAGATAGTAAACATGCAGATTTGCGTCTCAAGTGGCTCATCCCATAATTTTTTATATTTTCAAATAAAAAGCAAAGATTTAGTATGTTAGTATATGAAATAGAGTGCAGTTGATTGACGCATTCAATTGTTTTGGTCTTCCTGTTTCACAGGAAATGACTATAGCTTTTAATTTTTAAACGGCACCCATAGGTATATTTCTACTTTATTCGATGAAAAGTAGCCTCCTGTAGATAGAATGAGATATCATATGTCAACTTTTGACATATGGTTTAATTGTAATTGTAACTTGCAGAGTTCATAACATTAATTTGACTCGGAAATACCAGAGTGTGTGGTATCTATATATTCATAAAAATGCTTTCCAAATATGCTAATACAAGTCACTTGTGTTCCATTTGAAAAAATTGACATATGTATGATTAAAATACGATTTGTACATCACTTTTAACCGTGACAAGACACAGAAACCTATTAGACGATCAAAACTATTTTTTCCAAGGCTCATGGGGTCTAAAACTTAGTGGATTGAAAAGCTGGTTAAGTTTAAAATGGGATATATTTTTAATGACAATGTAAAAGTTGACATATGATATTTCATTCTATTCAGGTGTCATTTTTATGAATAAAAGTAGCAATATATGAGGTGCCTTTAAAATCAAAAAGATGTAATCATTTCGGTGAAACAGGAAGAGACCAAAAAACAATTGAATACGTCAATAAATCTAATTTATGTCATATACCTACTAACATACAAAATCTGTTTTTATCTGAAAAATAAAAAGTTATGAGGTTGAGCCACAACAGAGACGACCCGGTATATTAAAAATATTGTTTCATAATGTAATATCATTTTAAAATTCTTGTACGTTATTTTAGATTCTGAGGTAATTTTAGAATAAACCGGAATATATTTTTTAATAAAACATTTATTAATTGTGTAAGAGTTATAATTATGATTTTGTTACAATGTAAGTACGTAAATAATGTAATGTCAAAAGAAAAATTCAGATTTTACATTTGCTAAAATATTATCTAAATAGCCTTTCTGCATAGCGCCACTACATTGACTGCCAATGGGTAAAATTGAGGTTGCTACCGGTCAAGATCGTTTCAAGACTTAGAATGGATTATTTAAAGTCAAATTTCCTTTCTAGAGGTGGCACTGTGAACCATATTTTATAGTTTTGAACAGAAAGTCAATAAAATAAACACTTAGGACTACAAGCTAAGAAAATGCGTTAATACAGCCAGGAGATAGCGGCAACAAGCACTACCACGTGTTACGTACTACAAGGTAATAAATGAATGAATGGCTCCTCGCCTCTAATCAGTGTTGTTGTCATATTGTAAAGAACTTATCCTTACTAAACAGTATCGACTTATAATTTAGTAGTGGGACTATTTAAGCATCTATGGAATATTAAAACCTACTTTTATTAGAGCTGTAGAGATTAATATCTCCAATGTATATGTGTATTATAACAAGAAAAATATTGATAATAATGAGGCAATGACAACATAGGCTCGATGAGGAAGGCTCAGTCGACTGTGCCCAGAAATGAAGCATGTGTACAAAAAGGTTGTTTGTCCGCGTTGAGATGTAAATAGTGTAGTCCATGACATTTTATTTTTAAAGTCTATGGCAGCACCCTACTCACTTGAAAATCTTAAGTAGCAACACCCACTTGTGACACCTTTTGGAAAGCCATGAAAATCCTAAACAATGATCATAAAGTTATTGGGGTGAATTTAAAAAACTACATAACACAAAATTAGGTGGACATTAGCTGAAAAAGTGATTTTTTTCAGCATAAGTTACAAAGTGGGAAATTAGGCAAATGAGGTATTCTTCAAACCACCCCGACCCACCCCTAGGTGCCACCCCCTCACTTCTTAAATCTCAAGATAGCGATACCCCACTTGTGACACTTCTTTGGAAAGCTAATTGAAATTGCTAAACGATGGTCATACAGACTTCAACTTCTTACTGGTAAGATAAACTTAATTACTGGTAAGTAGTGATAAGAAATGTAGGTGTGACAATTTGAAAGAAATTTAAAATGATAATTTACTTATATTTTAATATTTTATAATTTAATTCTCTCACTTTTTGGAGTTTTGGATTTCCCTCTCCCTAGTTTGCGAATAATATTTTAAAAATCAATAATTTTATTTATGTATACAGAGTGTCTTAAAAATGAATGTTTTGAATTTAAAGAAATTGTCTATTTTTTTAAATTAGCAGTTCATCTCATTTAGCGATGGGAACTATCGAATGAATTAGACTATCGAATGGTTAATGAATGAATGATTTCAACTATCGAATGGTTTTATTCGAATAAAATCATTCATTCATTTGTATACTAAAGCATATGTGACAACCTCGCCGTGCGACTAAATGGTTATCGTTGAGCCACGACTATCGAATGCTTTTGATAAATGAAATTTAGTATTCGTTTGATTTTTGTATGCGTCGGTGCATTATTAGTTCTTCCAAATTTTTATAACTTCGCCGTATAAATACTGTGCTATTTTTGCGTTTATTAAAATAGTTAAAATACTAAAATAGTAGTTATTTTTTAATTTTATTTATTGACGATTATATGCATGTGCAGGTGGTCAAAATTTTTCCGAAAATTTGTGTGGTTTTCCGTAGTCCGATCTTTCAATTATTTAATTTTATATGGTATATGGTCTATTTTTTAATGGGAAATTTTGAGAAGTAGCAATTTTTAAGAGAGATGAGATGAACTTACAATTAATTTTAAAAATACATATTTGTATTTTAGATGTTTTAATAATATGAATTAGTTGGTACTTAATAATCATATTTAAGTAATGTGGTTGTATAATCATTTAAGTAAATAGTTATCGAACTCAAACTATGGGGTGAGAAAATTAAAATGAAAGTTTTACACGTGCCAGTTTAAAAAAAAAGTTAACGATGTTTGTATTTTGTTTATGCTAATTCTCTTACATGTAGTTTTTTGCGAAGAAAAAATATTTCATTTATTTTTTAAAGTAAATGCCAGTAAAAGTAATATAATTAATTAATATAATTTTTAAATAGAGATATAAAGCACCTAATATAAATAATTTTGATTTCTAATTTTTTATTTATATTTTCGTTCCATTACACTGCATGCTTAGAAAATTAATAAATGTTTATATTTCATGATTTTAAAATTTGTTGTTAATATAACAAATTAGTTCTGTAATTATTATTATTTAACAAACCAACGTTGCCAAAAAATTTAAAGACTATATTATTTTTAAATAGGATCTAATATAAATAATTTTGACATCTAATTTGTTGTTTATATTTTGCTACTACTTAAAAAAATATTGATATTAAATCATTTTAAATTTTGTTGTTAATAGGTATAACAAATTATTACTGTTATTATTATTTATTAAACCAGTCTTTGCTTAAAAACATTAAAAATCACTTTCATGTTCTTACATCCAAAATAACAAGTATTATTGCAGTGTAACAACAGAATATTAATAAAAAAAAATGCAGAATATATAGACATACTATCCCTAACTAACTAAAGCCAAACAATAATATTCTTTGCTAATATCAACTAATGCCAAAATATGGCAACAGCGCCCTTCATAATGTATTTTCTGTGTAAATACTAGCACCTCA